AAATCTACCTTCACTGCTTTATTCTGTTTTGTGAGGCCAGAGTGACTTCCTAAGAAACACAGATTTTGTATCCTTATAGTTACCTTTAAATATCTCCTTTTCTCTCAAATTTGCTTTCATCTATTTCACCAGTTTTCTCCATGCAAAAAGAAATTAACTTCTTAATCTTCTTACCGTCCTTCTTGTTTCTCCTTCCTACTATTTATCACTCTATTTTTTAGTATTTACATATTCTGATTTCACAATAACTGCTATTTTCTTGGTGTCCCTTTAGCAAGTTGATCAACTAGCTTCTGAATTTTTGGTTTTCTATCCTGGTAAGTGAAATCATATTCTGAAAGAATGTTGTTACTCTCTGAAATATATTCATTTTTGGTCAGTATGTTACCTTGTTCTGAGAAAGTGGTTCTGTTAGTGGATAACATCTGGAATAATACCTGGCATGTGTTAGGTGCTCAGTAAATATTTGCCGATGGAATGAATGTTTGAGAATGCAGTCTCTAGTGTTAAAGAGACAAGACTTAATATTGCCTCTTACTCTGTGGCATTGAAGAAGATATTTTATCTTCTCTAAGCCTGGGTTACCATCTAGTGTACAACTGAAGTAATAATAGTGTATACTCTTTAGAATTGTTCTGAGAATTAAATGACATAATGGATGCAAAGGGCTTAGCACAGAGTTTAGTACGTAGTAAGCACCCAAATGTTAGCTGCTATTTTTAATAGTAATCATTTTGCAACCCAACAATAGTACCTTTTTCACAGATAGCAAATTTTAGCAGTAAAATTTTGTCAGAATTTATTTATTGGCAATTTTTTTCATTGTTTACCAGAAACATTTAGAGATAAACATTAAATTAGTAGTGAGGGGGTAATAATAGGAAATCTCTGAGACAGAAGTTAAACTGGCATATGGTTTAGATGAAGAATGCAACTATCACTTTGATCCCAATTAGATTAAAAATACAAAATGTATTTTTTTGAGGTAAAAATGATGAACAACATTATATTAGTTTTGAGTGTACAACATAATGACTTGATACTTATCTATATTGGAAATCATCACCACAATAAATCTAGTTAACATCTGTTACCATACTTTGTTATGAAATTTGGTTTTGATGAGAACTTTTAAGATCATTGTTTTTAAATTAGACCTATTTTGGCATTATTATTTTTCTAGGAGTTAATTTTGATGACAATTAACTAACATGTGTTAGGTGAGGCTTGTCAAAAAATCTAAATAACCAGCCCCAGTATATGTGTATGTATGTAAAAATGTATATATATATTTATACATTTATATATGTACATATATATCTTTATATATATATATATATATATATATATATACCCACACACATACACATACACACATACAGTAGAACTCAGGATTATTAAAGGAACACATTACCCTTAAAAACTTGGAATTCTTCACCTACCAAGGAGACAAACTATTACTTTATAAAACCTTTCATTACTGATAACTCCTTTCTACCTGTACTTGGTTCATGAAGAGATAATGTCAGTTCCATCAGGCATACAGCTGTAGATTCATTATAACACAATGCCACTTCTTGGAGCAGGTAGCAGTATTGCCTTAATGAAATGGAGCAATCTTAATAGAATCATGAGTTATGGACTTGAAAATTATCTAGGGACACTTCACTTTAAACTCAGATTTTCTTATATACCTATGATGAAGCAATTTGTGTAAGTTTACAAATATTAATAGTAGAAGAGCTAGAATTGAATCCAAACCTCTTTTTCCTTGGACACTGTTCTTTTTACCAAAAAAAAAAAAAAGTGATTCTTGTTTCCTGGTCCTGGCACCGTGAAATCTTAGTAAGGTCCCTATTTGAGCTGTCTTGCCTGGGTACCACCATGATGTTCCTAATGCTTTAGGCAGGATTATGGGAGAGGTGCTTCTCTTTCACAGCCCTCTTTATCAGTGCACATCTTTGGTTATTGGAATCATCAGGCATTCTCTCCCTCTCCACTGAACGGACTATTTGAATGTAATTTCAATCCATTCTCTTTTGTCTGTTTATACAAAGGCACTATGACCTCTGGGGATTTTTTATTTTTGGTACGAGTGTGTGTGTGCTAGACCATATATGAGCCATAGAGATTCCAGAATGAACAGGCGTAATGGGAGGGGAGGAGTGCCAAGGGAATCAATATTCTCACTATACACTTTTCGTACTTTGTAAATTGAAATCACATTTCTCTAGGTAGTATAGGTTCTATTTCCTAACAGCATCTTGGGAGGACTAATAAGTTTAGAAAAATTTCACGTTGCTGTTTCCCATAGCTCATGGGGAAAGTTAAAGGAAATATGTTCCCATAAATAAGGCTGAGTTAATTAAAATCTATTGCACAGAATATTTTAGGGAAAAAATGATATACGATCTTGAAATGCTAAATGTTATTAGAAAAGAATATTTTATTTAGTAGAAATATATAAAAGGAGATCCTAAAATTGTTTATGTTTGGTGTTATTGAGTAAACAATATTATGATTCTGATGGTAAGACTCATGAAGATTCTCTCTATGTGTAATCATGGCATTTCCTAAAGTTTCCATAAAAAGCAGGCAATTCTTAGTGAAATTTGTAGATAGGCTAATTGAAACAAAATGTCTTTTTTATTGAGATACATTGTATTAGTATGAATATTTCTGAAATTAAGAAGTGACTAGTAGCTTGTTTTATGCTAATATATTAATATTAATTACCTACAATGTATTTGTTTTCTTCCTTTGCATTTTCTCCTAAAAACTGTATGCAGGGAGAAAAGGTGTGGAGAAAAGGTGAACTGTCCATGCTACCTCCACCTGAGTTGTGTTTCTGCTGCTTTTGGCTCTGAGCTGGGCGTTGATTGGCAGAATAGACCCCTCAGCAATTTTCTCATTTTTGGTGTTGTCCAAAAGAAATAGCCCATTAAAAATTCCCGTTTAGATATTACTATGGTTTGGAAGAACAGTGCAGTAACTACTTATTAAGAACCACAGTCACAGATGCAGTCCTGCTGCATTTTATTTCCTGTGTCAGGTGAATTTCTCATTCCTTCCCTTGTTTGCTCCATCTGGAGAGGCCCGGGCATCCGTACAAAACTCAACAGTGCCTAAACACAGACACATTAGTTGGGGCTGCCCCTGTTCCAGATATCGGAGAGAGATTTTATTGGCATAAGGCACCAGGGTCTTCTGCCAGCTCGATTCTCTGCTGACGCTGAGCTGAGGAACATGGGAGGGGGCTAGGATGGAATGACAGCTGAGGCAGCCAAAGCCTCCATTTGTCTTTCTGCCGAATGTGCTAAGCTGTAGATACTGCAGTGTTTTCAAAAGTAATAAAAAAAATATATTTTGCTCATTAACTTTTTAAGTCCTGCTGACTTTGTGAAATCAATAGAGCAGATTGTAATTGATTTATGAAATGAAAAACCCCTGCCTGACCAGTAAGCTCGGCAGGCGCCTCTCTCAGCACTGTGCCCTTCTGCTCGTTAGTGCACTTCCTTCAGCACTGCCTGAGCCAAGGACGCCGTCAGGACTGGAAGCTCAAGCCCTCTGCAGACAGACTGTTTAAGATGAAGCTTGCGCTGTCTCCCTGGGGTCTCAGGCTTTGTCCCTGTCTCTCTTCCTACCCAGGACAGCTGAAGGACTCTCTCAGCTTCTTTCTCCCGGTCCCTAATGTCCTCATAATACTTTATAGGGAAGACCAGGCTCCATTTATACCTGTCTTTTGACATTTTAATCTATTTGCTACTTTTCTCTCTCCTTTTCCTTTCTCTCTTAGCTTTTCTTACTTGGCTTGTCTTTTGCCATCTGGCCTTGTCTGCTCATTGATACGTTTTATTTTTTATACACTTGCAAGGCAAAAAAAATTTCCTTTTGCTATTTCAATTGCTTTTGTCTAATTTCAGCACTTATTCTTTCATCCCTAAAACAATATTTTATGCTTTTTCCTACTAACTCTACATAATTATGTTCCTCTACTACCCTTAAAAATTGAAGTAACTGCTATAAGCTAGGCATCATCTGAGGTGCTTTACATCAAATCATTGTTTCGAAAAGCACATAAGGAAAGTAGCATCCCCAGTTACAAGTGACGAAACAGATTCAGAGAGGTTAAGTAAATTGCTTGAATCACTTAACTATTGAGAGGCAATGCTGATATTTGAAAGTAATTCTTTCTTACTCTAAACTCTGTGTTTCTTTTTTTCCAGTACGAAACAGTGCTTCCAATTGCCTCTGTTTTTAAATGCTTGACTAGATTAACTTGGCTGCTCTTAACAGGGCTCATTCTCCTTAGTGCCACTCTGCCAAATAACTTTACTGTTCAAGCTGCCAGAAAGCAAATGTATTTAGTTCAAGATTTGTTTTACCGTGGTATGTTGGACAGCTGACTCTTTTTCACTGAGTTCTCAAGTATCTAATAGTAAGGAGCCCCCTGTCTCATCAGTAAAGGTAGAGGGAAGCATGCTCATGTTGTCAGGAGTCACCAAGAGCAATCCCATAACCTAGAAAAATGAACAAACAACAGAGCCAAATAGGCAACCTTTGGGAACTTTGTGCAGATTTCATCTCCTCTTTCTTCTTTTGATGTGACCCTGGGAGCAAGTGGTAAAATCATACAGCACTGCAGCAGCAGGAAAGTGATGCAATGTCCTCACTTGTTAAGTGGTTGAAGTTACCTAAAGTTTCCTGCACATGTACTGATATTGCAGTTAAGTGTTGAGCCGCATCCACAATGCGTTAGTTTGCAGTGAGTTAATAGGTTCCATCCATCTGAATTCTTGCATAATATTGCAGTAGCATAGGACATTACTGTCATTCAAGATGTGCAATATTGTACCAAAAATTAACCACAGATGCCATATTAAAACAGCTGCAGATTTAGATTTAGCAACAGTAGGGAGAAAATGTTGTGCTATGGAAGTTGGCCAAAAGAGCAATGGAGATATGCTGTAAATGAGGAGGAGGAGAAAGAAATTGAGGTCAAGCTGCCAAAAAAAGACAGAAATGAAAGCGGGGGAGGGTAATGCATATGGTCAGTGGCAATTCAAAAGGAGTTAAAATCCAGGAAGAGAGTGGTGAATACAGAGTGAGTGATGCCTCAGTGAGCTGAAGACATTTTAAAGCAGGAGATCTAATCAGAACAATGCTTACAGGTATAAATGAAGGTATAAAGAAAATTGCTATGTGATAATTCATCTTTAGGACTTACTGTAGGTAGACTATTGATTTAGGAATAAACTGCTAGAAAAACGATTGATGCTTGAAGTGATCAATGCCTGAGAAAAGAGTTCTGGAGTATAAAGAGTCAGCAAACCCAGACTATTACAGGATTTGAGACTATCTTGGGCATCCTTGGACTTGTAGCCTGTCTTCTGATAATGGACCCTCATAAGATTAAGTAGTCTTGTTTTGGGGAGAAGTGTTAGAAGGGTTAGCTGGTTCAATTTTGTACTGAAAGCTGAAGTGGAAAAGTCTTATTTCAACAGAATTGTTGGCATAGGAGATTCTCATTAACTCCAGGGCCATCTGCCCTTTTGCTATTCATTTGGCTCATTTTGTCACAGGTAGGTAGGGAGGTCTCAATAGTTTTGGTTCCCATTCAATTCTGATTTCTGCTTGGGAAATGGAAAAGGCCAGTGACAGCTGTGGCAATGCCAGAGTTCTCTTTCCTCTGCGTGAGCCAGAAGGTGGCTTCCGCATGTAGTTTCCAGCTAACAGAGCAAGTGGACAGTAAGCATTTCCCTTGTCCGCGTGTTTGGCTACCTAATTCTTCTCTGCCTTATGCTACACCTGGCTTAGGAGAATAGACAAGGAACACAGTGGTCTCTGAATCAGTAATTGACTTCATTGGTGGAGTGGAGGAAAGACTGGTTACTGACCATCAAAGGGCAGTCAATCTTGACATTTATCCCTAATTTGTGTCTGCTTCCCTGGTTCAGAAATGAAATACTGACTTGATTAGTAACCAGGAGATACCTTCCAAGTTACTAGGCCTCTCCAAACTTTAAGAGAGAAATGTTTCTATTGCCAAAGTATCAACTAGTTTTTCTTCTTCCCCTTTGAACACAAAAGAATAAAAACCTGACAGTTAACCACTTGCTGTTCCATCAGTGCTTCAGGAAAGCAAGGCAAAACAAAAGAAAATAAAATCAGTTTTGTTTTGGGTTTTTTTTTAAGTCTGATGTTTCAAAATTTCTCTCCACAGAGTAAAATTTTGAAAAATTGGGAAAACCTTGAAAACTCTAGTGTTCTATGATAATAATGATAAAGTGGAGCTAAAGTTTATTGAGCACACAGTGTATGCCCGGCAGTATTACCTGCGCTTTGCCTATATCATATTATTCATGTCCTCTCTCCCTGGCAAATCTGTGTTATCTATTTCATAAGTGCCATTTACTCCTCATTTTACTGATGCAGCAACTGAGGCACAGAATAGTTAACTAACTCTTCCAAGTACCATGGCCAAAATGTGGCAGAGCCATTACACAGACCAGTCAGTTAACATCTGAGCCTACATGCTGGACCTAGACTGCCCTGCTTCTTTGATTTAGAATCTCATGTTGGAAACTCTCACATTACTTAACTTTTTAATGAAAGCACATGAATGGGGAAAACTTCTGTAGGTGTGTTCTAATACTATGAAAAACACTAAAATCCAACAGCGTACAATTTCAATCAATAAATATATGATTTTCTCACTTTAGAATGACCCAATTTTCATAGTCCTATTTAAGAAATAAGTATGTGAGGAGTGGCTGTTTAGGAAGGGGCTCATCTCTTTATCAGAAAGATTCAGTAAATACTTGCTTCAAATGACTGGCTTTGTACAATTCACATAAATACTTTTAGATCCATGTTTGTTGTGTATGAAAAGCCTTGTTTTCATTATACTTTTTATTCAATTACATAGAAATCCTTTATGAAATAGTGTGATATGTTTGGTAAATGTATTCATTGCAACTTTCTGAATTGCAAAAGTTTTATTTGCTATTTAAAGTTTCTTCCAGCCCTTTTTCCCTCTTGCTTTTAAAAATTAAGGTAGAACACTTAACATGAAATCTACCATTTTAACAAATTTTTAAGTGCACAATACAATATTGTGAATTGTGGGTGCAATGTTGTCAGTAGATCTCTAGAATGTATTCATCTTGTGTAACTGAAACTTTATACCCATTGAACAGCAACTCCCCATTCTCTTAATTCTCCGGGATCATATTTGCAGAAATGGCATTGATGGCTTGTGCATATAGACATACATCTATGTCACTCATGATGGTATACAAAAGTATGGATTTCTATATATGATTTTGGTTTTTCTACAATTAGGAATAAAAGTTTGACCGTGTCATTTTTCCTAAAATATGTGTTGGTTCCATAAATATCAAGCAAGAAGACAAATTTAGAAAATATTTCGTGTGGTTTCCAAATTAAGATGTAAGCGATCCAGACATAAATGAGGTGTGACTTATTTTACCATCAGTGACAGTTTGAAGCACAAAATTTCTGGACAGCACCCATCTCAGAAAGAGAATCTTGTTTCCTTTCCTCTTTATGTAAAAGAATTTACTCTTCGTTACAGCAAAACAATGACTCCTTATCTAACAATGGTAAATAGATGTTTTAAGTTTTTTTTAACCTCTAAAACAAACAAGACCCTGTTTATTTTTACAAACTTTGAATGCATTTGGAATACATCTTTAAATAGGAATACTTAAGTTCTTCTGATTCTACACATGGCAATGAACAATAGGATATTACTCTTTCTGTGAGCTCTGAACCTCGGCGACTCCTATAGTTTCTAAACTTATGTTGTTAAGCTTGGGCTCAGGGTCTTATCATGAAATCTAATGATATGTCACATGCATTTTAGGTCTTTTAAACAAATTTTTCCATCTCAAGCCCTTAATATATTTTCTTGTTGCTTTGTATTAGGTCATTATTTTAGGCACTGGAACTACCAACCATTAGCTAACTCTCATTTAGAAATATTTAGACAGAAATAATATTGAATTTCACATGAAATGCCCAATAAATTTCTCCATACTAGAAATTTTGATTTATTTTAGTGACCAAATGATAAACCCATGTTTAGTTATTTGGAAAACAACCACTGTCAGAAAAAAAAATACAGGTGTGTTTTCTACTAAGAGATCTGTTATTCCTTACATATTTTGCCAATAAATCTTCTTCAATATGAGATTTAAAGACGTGTTTTGGATAAAGTGAATGGTGAGAACAAAGGTACTCAGTCCACAGAATAAAATAGTTTTGGGAAAAAAGTGAACGAATCAGTCTGATAGGAAACTAACAAAAAATAAGACTAGAACAGTAAGTTTGTTCCAGATTGAAGAGGGCTAAAAATGCAAAACTTGGAAATTTTACCATTTTTCTTTAGGAAAGTCATTGTACATTTTTAATTAAGGATGATGTTATAGCAGCTATGTTATATAAAGAAATCTTTCAACATTTTATAGGGTGTCCTGATAATGAGGTTAGTGCAGTAATCAATGGAAAAGATGATGAGGGCAGGAATAAAAGTGATGGTGAGGAAAATGGAAAGTGGTCCTGTGGATTCCAGAGCCTGGAGGATGTTTGACACATGCTGTTCTCTGAGATGTTCTTCTCCCTCTCTTTGCCTTACTGATTCCCTAAGTTCAAATCTCAACTGAAATGTCTTTTTTACAGGGATGTCTTCCTTGATCCCCTAAGTTAGTGCCCCCATTCCATTTATATGTTCTTTAACACTGTTCTTTACCTTAAAGTATTAAAAACACTTATAATTGTTTAGCTATTTGTAAACATATTTATAAGGTCTTCCCTATCAGACTTTAAGTCTTATAAGAGCAGGAATCACGTTTGTTTTATTCACTACAGTACTTCTAGGACCTAACAGATAAATACTCAACACTTTTTCTATGGGCTAACTGACTTTACTGACTTTTCAATATACAGAGAAATGAAAGGAGGTGAGTGAAGGGGAAAGAGTCAAGTATAACTCATGTTTTGAACCTTAGTAGCATGTTAAACCATTATTGGTCCATGATACGTATTTTAGAATAAATGAATTTTATATATTTTCCTGTGAGAAATTCTAATGGACTAATTAAAGAAATGAGATACCATGATTAATTTAGAGCAACAGGGAGAGAGGGCTACTAAACAGAGGAAACATCAGAGAACAGGGAGGTGAGGATTTAGCAGAAAGACTGTGGCCTTGCCTGATAGTTAGATAGAGAACCAGACAATCTTGTAGATGCACTGGCACAAAGCCACCACAAATCCTTACAAGTTATAAATAAACCATTAAGCCAAACACTTGACAATCATAGACTCAAACATTCAGGGAGTCTGAAGAGAAGTCCAAGATAGATCACTTCCCAATTCTTGATTTCTCTTCACAGTATCCAGCCAAACAATCATCAGGCTTTGATAGAAAAACCTCAAAAAAGAAAACCTTTCCAGTTTCTTTTCTCTTGCACCAATAGCTGCTGACTCAGAAGCTAGTCAGAACAGAGAACATCTCATCAAATCACAGCTAAGTCAAGTACATCCTTTCCCACAATGCTTCGTCATCTGGTTTAATACTTTGCAGGGGAAAGCAGTAGGTGTATCGTTCATACTACTCACTGATACTACTTATTACTACTAATTACATGTGAGTGTCATTAGAAAGATGCTGCAGTGAGATTTATGTATCTTGTAAGTGCTCCTTCTTAGCGAATAGATCAGTGCTTGGGGAGTTGTCAGTTGCAGAATCACATCATGATTTGCTTAGATGAAGGCAGTCTCTTCTAAATGATAGAATGCTGATTTTAAATGGGACTGAAGAATGATTCTTTTGGTCAGATGGGAAATGGCAAATCTTAATGGAATCTAAAATACCAGATTACTTATCTCTTCATCCAGAAACTTTGATTCAAAGCCTAATGTCCCAGAATTGCTTCTGCGGATTTTAGGCCTACTGTTGGTTCAGAGCCTGTATTGACCTAGGATGGAATAAGTTTTTCCTTTGAAAGAAAGAAGTGTTATTTAAAAAAAAAAAAAAAGGAAAACTCTCAAAGTTCAATGTGAAGAAAACCCAGTAAAATATGGGCAAACATCTTGAATAGACAAATCAGAAAAATATACAAATGGTTGATAAGCACATGAAAAGATACTCAATGTCATTACTTATCAGGGAAATAAATATTGAAACCATAGGGAGATACCATTTTACACCCACTAGAATGACTAAAACAGAAACAAAACCGACATAGTGTATTAGATGATGTGAACCAGTGAAACTCGTATGCATGACTAATGGGAGTGTGAAATGATACAATCACATTGGAAAACAGTTTGGAAGATTCTTTAAAAAGAAAAGTGTATTATCTATTCTATGAACCAGCAATTCCAATCCTAACTATTTACCCAAGAGAGAGAAAAACATATATTTATGGAACAGTACAGTTATCCCACTAGCTGCTCCAGTTTAATTTGTAGTAGTCAAAAGCTGGAAATAATCTAAATGTCCACCCACAAGTGAATGCACAAACAAGTGTGCTACATATGTACACAGTGGAATATTACTCAGCAATAAAAATTAATGAATGGCTAATAAGCATTTCTTTATATTACTCCATTCTTCTTAAGGAACAACTTACTCCAGCCCATGTCACCACAAGCTCTGAGTCAAGACTGGGCCTAAAATTGCATTGAGCAAAGAAACCAAACAGAAAAGAGTATATTGAGTAATTACATTTATATCAAGTTCAAAAGCAAGCACAATCAATATATGGTGATAGAGACATATCAGTGGTTGTCTGGTACAGAGGTGGGGAGATGGACTGGAGAGGAACACAGGGCAACTTTCTTTGGAGAGCATATATTATGTGCAGCTAATTACAAATGAGAGTGTTACTAAAGTAGATTTTAAAAGCAAACTTAAAAGGTTTATGTATAGAAATTCTTGGTTACCAAAAGTTTAGCTACTGTGAAATTAATGCTTCCAAGCATACTTTATTTTTTATTTTAATTCAGATTTTTCTGTCATCTGTTAATCCATAATAGTGAGGATTCTTTGTAATATTAATCTTAGTGTCATACCAGAAAAGATGTGGAAAGACCTGGTAGACTGAATAACATAGAATTTTCAGCTAATTGTCAATTTTTTCTCATCGAGACTCAAGCATTACAGTCTTTATTGTTTCATTTCCACTGAA